AGTTGCTGTTTCAAACTATATTAGGGTTTCCTACACCTATCTGGCTCAGATTTTGAGTAAAAAGGGATTTTTCAATAAAATGGCAATCAAGATGGCTGGGGGTCGCCATGGAAATTTGCTAGTAACAGTTAGTAGCTATTTTCAAAATCGACATTAGGTTATTGACTTTATTTAAATTTATGACAGTTTACTTTTATTTAATTTACCTACCATAGTTTAATAAGTAAGTATTTATTGTTTTATCAAGAAAAATAAAGAAGTAGTTCTTTGGTTTATATTACGATGACTTAATGTTTAAACAGGATGAAATGAATCTACGTCATATTTATTCGGATCATGTTTCGCCTGATGTAACATTTAATCAATTTCGAGATGTGTGCAAAATGTTGGAACGACAAGTATGGTTTTTTAGTTATCGATAAAGATAGTGATTTAAACTCTGGAAGATATCGTGTAGGGTTCGATAGCTATATATTAATAGAGTAATCTTAATGAAAGCTCATTTGACAACTAAGCGATATAGTAGTAGGTCACAGCCAAAACGAACGAGGAAATTGATTTGAAACGTAAATTAGTCGAAGCTACAGATGCTGAAAAAAATTTAAACAAATTAAATCTGCAAGCGTACACGATAAAATTGAATTGGAGAAATTTTACGAACCGATTAGTTCAAAAATATGCACTTAACAAATCGTTGTAACTTTTTTGTTATGGAAAATTTTGTATTTTTATGAAAACATTTCCAAAGTACCTTTTTACGTAGAATTTAATGGTTTAAGTATAATTTTTTTAAAATTAATAATTTAAGAATTATCAACAGAAAATTTGATTTTTTATATGGGACACTTTGTATATTTTTAATTTACTGAAAATAATTTAAGATTACCTTTCCAAAAATATAACACACTTGATATTTTGCTCGATTCCTCTTCGAGATATAGAGTATATAAAAATTCGCCCGTTTTAAATGAGTAGGCTTTGAACGGCACCGGCTGTAATGCAAAAAAATCTAGCTGTGAGCATCAATTAAAACGAAAATAATATTTGCTATGAGAGATGCAGAATTTTATAACTATTTAAAATATATTTAATCAACATCAACACATTTAAACTATATCTAATAACAAGAAAAATAAATAGCAAACCAAGACATGAGATGTTGCTATAGGTGTTCGACATATCGACCGTCTTCTGTTATGGACAGACGGGGCAGTTTTTGAACATTTGTCGCGGAATTCATTAACTCAGTGGGGGTGAAAGATCCCCTCTCATAACTGCTAAGTAATTCTAATTCTTGTCTAGATTATACGGAAGAACAAGGAACCTTTATTTTTCCGCAAATATATCGATAGGATTAGATCCATGGGCACTAAGTCAGGCGGCCTCGACGGCCAACGGCTGGAATCTTGGTTGGCTATTCAATTACTCTTGAAATTGGATGCAAAAATTTGCTGATAACTTCAGCGATCAGAGGCGGTGCGCCGTCTTGCTGGAGAAATATGTTTTCGAGTTCTATTATGGGCATATCATCAATAAAGGGTCCAAAGCCTACTAGTTAAAAGTGACGAACTTTTAAAAATTCTGTATTTCGAAGGGGATTATAACAAAATATCAAGTGTGCTATATTTTTGGAAAGGTAATTTTAAATTCTTTTCAGTTAATTAAAAATATAGAGGGTGTCCCGAATAAAAAATCAATTTTTCTGTTGATAACTCTTAAATTATTAATTTTAAAAAAATTATACTTAAACCATTAAATTCTAGGTAAAAAGGTGCTTTGGAAATGTTTTTATAGAAATACAAAATTTTCGATAGCAAAAAAGTTACAGCGATTTGTTAAAAAGGCACATTTTTGAAAAACACCCCCGTAACTCCGAAACGGTAACAGATATTGATGTGCGGTTTTCACCATCATGTTTTTGATGAAAATTGAGCTCCAGACACCGATATTAGTTTTCGTCTATCTCCTATAGAAAAGGGTGTTTCCATTTAAAAGCGTCGAATTTGACCCACCCTGTACAAGGTGTTGACAAACTTTTTTATTATAGCATGCATATTTAAATATCTTAAAATATCACAAAAACCAAAGCTTTTAGACATATTAAACCCTTTTATAATAAATGCATTATTTTATGCTCAAGACTCCAAAAATGAAATAAAATACCGGGTGTTCCATAAGAAAAAATATAACTTCGGTATGGATCTTAGTTCTGACACACCCTGTACATTTCAAAATAATTTTAAATTATGCACATTGCCTTTCCACATATACTCATAAAATATTTTGTTTCTACATCTTTCCGTTTTCGTATAATCAATCGAGGTGAATGAGGTGCGCCAACCTGTGTATAAAAAAATACTTGCAGCTAAATATCCATCATCAGTAAACGTAATCATTCTGTCCTGTTTCGACCTAAACCCCCGATCCGACGCCGTTTTGTAATAGTTCCCGGTAAAATTGTCATCACCACACCGCACCAAAACACACAGATTAGCCAAAACCATCGAAACCAAGACCCGAAAAATCATGTTCTTCCCGTCAGACGAAAATTGAACCAAAATTTCCAGTTTCAAAATTTCCGCACAACGATTCAAAGTCTTTCTTTTGACACGGACGTTTCTACGGTACTAACGCAGATTTAAGCTGATGTGTAGGCATGTCGAAAAAAAACTATTTCGCAAAATTTCGCAAAATAAATAATCAACACAGAACAAAGAATGGTGTTGCTCGTCTCGGAATCATATCTGATGCTATAATTTCTTTCGAAAAAGACGAACAATGAAGAACGATATAATAATTGCTTAATTTGGAGGAATTAGATATATTGTTGGCAAGTTTGCAGAAAATTTGCTGTCAAAATAATAATAATAAATTTTCTAGTGAAGATCGAGAGTGATTTAAAGACTGGTTTAGTACTTTTAATGACTTTATTTTCACTTATAATAGTTGGTTCTATCGGACTTTTTTCGACTATATAAATCTTTATTTGTAAACTTTAATACATCAAATATTTTCAATCTAATAAATCATTTAATGATGTAAATAAGAGGAAATTTCTCACATGGGTGGTCAAATTTTATAGTTTTCATTATATCAAACAGCCTCTGAGAAATGTTTTCAACTCAAAATGATTTTAATAATGTTTGACTACATCATTAAAAAGGGTCTTCAAGTACATCAATGTGATATTTGTCTAAAATTTGCAAAAGATTCCGAATCTCTGGATAACTCGAAATTTGATCATGAAAGTGGAAAAATTTGTTCATTTTATTTACAGGCTGGAAAAATTATTTATATTAAATTTTGATGAGTTTTGCACTGAATAAAACATTCAGAGGCTGTTTGATATATTGAAAACTATAGAATTTGACCACCCATGTTAAAAATTTCCTCTTATTTACATCATTAAATTATTTATTAGATTGAAAATATTTTATGCATTAAAGTTTACAAAAAATAAAGATTTATATAGTCGAAAAAAGTCCGATAGAACCAATAGAAATGTAACTATTTTGTCACATCTTTAATTAAATTTTGTTAAATAAATTAATTTTTTATACTATAAATATCTTTTTTTTTCCTAATCTCCTACGAACTGATATAATATGACGAGCAATCTATTAAATTACTGTGAGATTATACAGAAAAGTCCACAGACTTCGAGACATAGGAAAATCAAGTCCATTTAGCGTGTGTCCAAATTTTGACAAGTTTTCAAAAATGACAGTTTTGTTTAGACTGACGTTTAATTTCACCTGACTTCTCGGTGTATGTACCCCCATATCTCGACTTATGTACCCCCATAAAAAGAAATCATTCATTCTTTTTATGGGGGTACATAAAATCTAAAATTTACGGCCATGAAGAAATTCAAAACTTGGAGCAGTTAAGGCAGAAAATATTTAATGCCTTTGACACTGTCACCCCTGATATGTTATCCAATGTGAGGAGGGGATTTTATGATCGTTTGGTTTAATGCAAGAGGGAGGCACTTTTGAACAATTTTTGTAATTTTTTAAATTTCATTATCCTGTTATTTTACCGTTTACCCATTACCTACCTTGACGAACATGGTCCTTTCCAGGACCACAAATATTTTGATTGAGAGAATTGGTAACTTTTTTTTGGATTAAAAAACAAAAGTTGTTAATATAATACCAATTTAAAAGTGTTTTAGTAGTTTTATTACACACTATGATATAAAATTTATTATTATTATAATGTATATTATTAATACTATTGTTCATTCGAAATGGCATTAAGGCCCAATTGCAACAATGATTTAAATTTTTCTTAAAGATAAGTAGAGCTTAGAATGAGCTGTATTTATATTTACTTTAATATTCACCTTAAATGAGGGAATTTGACTGATAAAATTTTTGAATTTGAATTGTTTTTAATGATACTAACAATTTTAGTTCAATTTTTAATAAAATTTATTTAATATTAATAGAAATCCAAGAGATTTGAAACCTCTTTTAGCGATTTATAACATTTTCAAATGAATTACAGGTGCCCTTATTTTCTATGAAAATCACACAGCTTTTTTCATAGTCGCTGCAGTTGCTATAGCTATAAAAACTAATTTTTTAAGGTGTGAAAATTGCGACACACGCTAAATGGACTTGATTTTTCGTATGTCTCGAAGTCTGTGGACCTTTTTGTATGCCTCGATAACATATTGGTGCAGATTATTTTCATCCAAACAAATAATAACCCAAACTATACATTGATGCGGATTGTCTATGAACTCTTTCTGAAGGTCACAGAAACCTGAACGCGTAATTCGGTGTTCTTTCGCATCTGTTATAGGTAATTTGTGATAATGGCTACACAAAAAGATAATTCACAAGAAAAATTAGCCATGTAACGATGATAAGGTTTTTTATGTAGCCAGCTCTCCGTCTATAACCCCGTAAAATGAGGCCTGTATATCTCAAATTCATTATCAAATACACCAAAAATATACTTTATTAGTTAGTATATTTTACACAAAAAATCATTAAAAGTGAAAACAATGTATGTCGATGATCGGTGAAATTTTGCTTTTTTTGTAAGAATGAAATAACGTCTCTTATTACGTATATGCGCTTCCATAGTAATATTGTTCAAGATTGTAAAATTATGTCTTTGTTTTACTTAATTATTTTAGCGTAACAAGCAGAAGCTTGCACATGGCTCGTATTGTTCATAACTAACTATCTGTAAAATGTCAGACGTATAAAATAATTTGGCTCACGCGTTCATCGACCAGTTCATATCGAAAAGTTACGCGAAAAATCAAAAGAAACAAAATGCAGAAAATAATTGTCGTGTTTTTGGTGTTCGGTATGGGTGTATGGGCAAATCCCAAGAAGTATGGCGAAGAGGACAGGTAGAAACAAAAAAAACAGTATAAAATTAATTTTAAGTTAGATTAGAAAAAAAACATTCGGAGACTAGAATATTAGGATTTATATCACTTCAATTCAATTAATTTGTGAAAATACTTTAGTGAAATTATGTACGGGGTGGGTCAAATTGGACACTTTTAAAGGAAAACTCCTTTTTCTATAGGAGATCAATATCCCACTTCGATATCTGTTACCATTTCCGAGTTACGGGGTGTTTTTCAAAAATGTACATTTTTAACAAATATCGCTGTCACTTTGCTGCGAAAAATTTTGTATTTTTATGAATACATTTCCAAAGCACCATTTTACCTAGAATTTACTGGTTTAAGTATAATTTTTATAAAATTAACAATTTAAGAGTTACCAACAGAAAAATTGATTTTTTATTTGGGACACCCTGTATGTTTTTAATTAACTGAAAAGAACTTAAAATTACCTTTCTAAAAATATCGCTGTCATTTTCGAAATATGACTGAGACCGACTCAAACTTGTGTCTTCTTTTTATAAGGGACCACCTCTATACAGGGTGGTCCGAAGTGTATTCCGGAAACTTCGGCAGCATATTAAGCAGATAAAAATAAGTGAAAAAGTTCGTATAAATGTATGTCCTAAAATGGCTTAGTTTCGGAGATACAGGGTGTAGAAGTTTCATTTTTATTTCGATTTTTTCCAAATAATTTATGAAGTAACGTCAATATTAAGATGACATCAAAATCAAATTTCTCATATCAAAAAACTCCCAGACACCAATTTTCATCCAAATATTGACATTATTAGTTCAAAAATTATTTAGAAAAAATCGGAATAAAAATGATATTTCTACGCCCTGTATTTCCGTAACTCAGCATTTTGGGACATATGTGCATTTATAGGAACTTTTTTACTTATTTTTACCTGTAGATTTACTCTGTAAATTTACTCTATTTTGAACATAAAACAAAGTATCGAGTCAGTTTTAAGTCAATTTATCGAATTATATACAGGGTGTCCCACTTAAGATGGATACAAGCCAATATCTTGGTTGTTTGTTGAGCGATCTTTTTCATTTTTGGCAGGAGGTTGTATGGCTATAAGACGTACATTTTGCCCAGGGTAAGAAATGCGATACTTCATAGACGTACGTTTTAATGGGGTTTGATATTTTTCGAGTCAAGAGTAAACTACCCTTAGGACAGTATTTATTTCAAATCTGATAAATTATATTGAATTCTTCTTACCTAAGATACTTAAGTTCTAACTTTGATAAATATTGATACAGGGTGTGTTATAAAACTGCCCATGCTAGAGAACTGAATATTTGTGGAGGCTGTAATGTTTTAAATATCATTAAAAAAATATTGCATTATTTACAGAAGAATATATCTTTGTTCTTTTACAGTTTTTCGCCCAGTAATAGATACTACGAGTCAGAAATACCTTACAAATCTTATAAGAACAAAACGACTTATATTCCACAAAATCCCATCGGAGACAGCAGTAAGAAGGAGTCCAGGTTTGGAACTATCAGCTATGGAACTGCAGGAAGTGGGTAAATATATACCAAAAACCAGAAAACTTGTCTAAAATTATAATCACATTATATTTTAAGACACACTAAACCAATGAACACTGGACAACAAACAAAAAATGTAATATACAACATACATATACCATGTGAATGTGATAAATTTTATATTGGTAAAACATCTAGACCTTTAAATGTTCGAATTAAAGAACATAAAGATTATTTAAGAAAGAGCGACTTTTGCAAATTAAGATTTGTCAGCATTCGTGGGACACAGGCCTCAGAGTAGATTTTATCAATGTAAACATTATAATGAAAGAAGCGATAGCCTCTGAAAACTTATAGTAACTTTTACCTTCAAAATTTCATTCCCGTCACCCTTCTTTTTTTAATTAAGAAAAAAATGTAAAAACACAGAAAAATTGTAGTAAGAAACTGGATATACCGTTTTTAGATATGGATCCAACAATGGTCTTGCTTACGGCACCATGAAATTGGACATAGGTGGGGTTGCTTTAGGGGCCCTTATAGGCTTGGGTGCTATTCTCCTCATACCAAAAATATCCCAACTATTCTCTTCAGCTCACGGAGGGTACGCCAGAGGTAAAAAATACATTTTTGAACTATTTCTATCTATTAAAAAAATCATATTTTTTTAGGATTGGACACAGATATGTCCTCCGTCACAAATATTTTATCCAAAATAGATGATTCATTGGCTGCTAATAATATCGACAGTAGTTCCTGCGCGCAAAGAATCGTTTGTAGTTTCGTGCACGACGCTGTCAAAAACCAAAAAGCCGGTGAAACCACCAGTGCCGATGAATTTATCATGTCTTTTACCAAGTTAGTATCAGAATATATTAGCATAAATTAGTTCTTAAACTGATAAAATAAAATATATTTCATTAACTGGTCCTGTAATGTATTCTTTGTCACACTATACTTAAAGTTTTTCTCACCAACGAGTTTTTTTTTCAAGAAAAATTTCGACAGACGACAGAGTATACTGTAAATATATTTTTGAGAATCCCTGGTAGTATAACTTTTATTTATTTTGCTTACACAACGTTCCACACTTGATAACTTTTATTATTGCTTGCAGCAATCCGTTATTCGCTTATATGGCTGGTGGAACAGTTCTAAAAGAAGCTGTGGATATCGGAAGAACTCAGGACATGGACAAGTGCATAGAAAAATACGACAAATGTCCTTTGACCAGACAAAACGTATTAAATGTCCTATCTACTTTAATACCGACAAACTAGTACTAAACACTTTGTAGTAGAGACTAGTCAATATAAATTATATTTATTTTTTGTATTAAACAAAGCCTTTTATTTTTATTTCTGTATCAAGTAATTTTCTTCTTACCCTCGTATCTATGTTTTTGATAACTGGAGCAGATAACGCCTAGATTTCTTGACGCCCACTAAAATTAAAGAAGAGTTCAAGTGACATCTCTGTCATCTGTGGTCATCTGTCAAAATTCTGACATTACATGGGCATTACCACGGTTGTCAATATACGTGGCTGCACAATTTTTAATGTTTTTCGCCGAAAAATATAGTAAATTAGCTTAATTCTGGTCTATTAAGGCTGTGCAATAACAATGGGGCTGTGCAAATGCCCCAAGAGGCGCGTTACCAACCAGTTTTGCTTTGAACATCGAGTGTGCGTTTGTGAGAATTGTATGGTAACCAATCATCCCATTGTAAGCATTATAATCTTATTTATAGAGTTTTTATAGTTATCAATATACTAATGTGTTGTAATTTTAGTGTGTGGTACAATCATATCTACAATGGCTACAAGACAGCGATTACAATTCGATTTGCGAGATATGTTCCAAGGACTTAAATACAGAGGATAGCATAAGGCTGACTTGTTATCGTAAGAAACCACTTTATTTATCCAGTTTTCTCGAAAATACAGTAAAGAAACGTTTCAGATGTCTTTCATTGGTCGTGTTTGGATCATTATTCAAGACAACTGCCCCCAACTACGGCGCCTCGAGGATATACGTGCCCATCATGCAAAAGTCCCTTATTTCCTGCTCCAAACTTAATAAGCCCCGTTGCAGATGTTTTAAAAGAGAAATTGGCTGGTGTAAATTGGGCTAGAGCAGGTCTAGGACTTCCCCTTGTAATTATATTAATATAAACAAGTTGGTAATTTTTCAAATTTTTTTTGTAGTTGTCAGAAGAAAGAGAGGTTAAATCGATAGTTAATCATGTTAATTCATCAGTAAATCAGGATTTACGTTCCACACCAAGCCCTTCACATTCAGTGGTTAACGTAGATGATCATGGTGCATTTAATAGAATAGATAGTTATCATGGAGTGTCATCAAACAGAAAAACATTTCAAGTATGTTGTGGCTTTTAATATTACTTACATATATTTTTAATTTATATTATTTAGGACATACGAGAAGTTAAACCTTCAAGTTTTGATCATGATGATGATAAATACAAACGCCGACCAATTTTTGAGCTTGTTACAACTTGGTGGAAGTAAGTTTTGCAGAAAAAATTAAATGATATTGTTTAAAATGACTTTTAATTTGTAGAATAACTTTTGGGGCCCCACTGAGGTCAAGAGGAAGATCAAAATACAGAAGATACTGCATGTTCGGAACACTTCTTATACTAGGAGTCATCTTTTTCTTGTATTTTATGTCGAAATTAGGAAGATACTCTGCCGATAACGATCCAAATTTAGATGAGATACATAATCCCTTTGTTAAAAATCAGGAAAGTTAAAATGAGATTTTTCTTGTCATGTATAATTGTTAAATTTTAAGGTAATAATTAATATTTTGTTTTATAATTTATTTTAGTGTTATTGATTAAGGAACATTGCTTTATACATATAGTAAATAAATAAGTTCTAATTCTATTTGATAGTTTTATTTTATTCCAATAAGCTATACTTCATTCATGTTTAGTATATTTGTAAGGGTTTTATAGAGATTTTAGTGAAAAAAAAGATGGTCAAAATTTCAAGAATCACTCAGTACAGATTATTGTATCTGTAGTTTTAAAATAAGAATAAAATAATGGTAAAATAACTTGAATCACACTGTATACCTTTGAAAATTTTTCTGATGTCAGTATATTTTAGTAAAACATATAATTAAAAATACAGAAACTATTATTTATCTAAAAGATAACAACCACACTCTCCGAATGTTAATATAAAAATACTGCAACAAAATACCTATTCATTAATCAAATATATCGATATCTTATCAGTTATCGCTCCTCCCTAATCCCTAGCTGTCAGATTTTGAGGTTGGATTTTAATTTTGTGCAAAATTGACAACGTCAACAATGAAAGCAAAAGGGAAAGGCGAAAAATGATAAAAAAATGTCAACTTAAAATTGTTACATAGCCGGTTTAATGAAAGTACCTGCTTCGTTCAAGGTTAAAATCAATTCTTAGTGGTTCTAAGATGTCCGAAATTTAAATAAATCAGTTATTCAACTCCTAGTTTTTCTGCAAAATGGTAGCAAACAACTTGACAAAGGTGAGTTCTTAAACGTATGTTTTCTAGTTAGAATGTTTATTTTACGTTGTATTATCATGGCATTTGATTTTATTAAGCTGCTGTTTGAATTTAAAATCCTAACAGACAGTTTAATATGGTGTCTTTTCTTTGAATTTTGTTATTTAATTTGAATTCATAAATCTGACATAACATTCACAAAAATGTGCTTATACAGATGTTTATTTTTCATAAGCCTCTATTTCAATGATATAAAATATGTTATTATGCTTTAGAATTAAGCATATGTACACTGATAAAAATACTTTAACATTTATTATTAGTTATTACCAATATTTTTTGATGATTGAACATGTTTCCCCATTTAATATAAGTATTTCATGAATATGTTAGCTTATCACAAAAAAACCTACTCAAAATCAGTATTATCTTGAATTTCATTATCACATAAATCAATTCTCTTAAGCCCTAGATAATCCATTCTGAGACTTTATAATAATAGTCTGTAAAGTCATGGAGAAAGCAAGTGATTTAAATATTCTACATTATATTAATAAAATAACAGTTGTTAAACTTATTTTTAGGTAACAAATGTTGCCCCAGAAAGTGTATTTTTATACAACCCAGACATTTTAAATGGACTAGATTGGAATGCAGTTAAAAACAAATTATCCCCGTTTATTACAAATGAAAATCCCGGAGAGGATTACTTTCTAGTAAGGCCCTTAATGATTGATGATTACGACAAAGGATATTTGCAACTGTTAAGTCAGTTAACAGTTGTGGGAAATGTATCAAAAAGTGATTTTGAAAGTAAGTTGCTTCTGATAAAGTTATTTACCTTGAATCTACAAGGTGTGTCTTAAGAGAAAAAACCATTTGCATGAAACAAAACTGTAATATTATTTATTAGCTATGATATAAATTATATTTTAGCTCAGTTTAGAAAAATGAAGGAAACAGGAGGATACTTTGTAACAGTTGTTGAGGACATTAGACACAATAAAATTATTGGTTCAGCTACCTTAATAACCGAACTAAAATTCATTCATCAGAGTGGTTTAAGGGGTAGGCTAGAAGATGTAGTAGTAAACAACACATACAGAGGAAAACAACTTGGGAAATTGTAAGTTAAATCTAGTTTTTTTCATACAAACAATTTAATGTATATATTCTTTCAGAGTTGTTCTAACAGTGACATTGCTTGCTAAGAAATTGGGTAGCTATAAAATGTCTTTGGATTGCAAGGATCAGCTAATACCTTTTTATCAGTCGTTAGGGTACAATTTAGAACAGGGGAACTCAAATAGTATGATGCTTAGATATGAGTCTAAATTATAAAAAAAATAACTACTGCACTTAGACTTGTTTTGTAAAAATCTTCATTATCTTCTTTGTTATTTATATTTATTTACCGTACTGTATGCCATCAGATAATTTATATGTAATTGAGTTACTCAAAATATGTGTTAAAATAGAATTATAAAAATAGTAAATTTCTGTTTGAATATTTTAATTTTAAAATTCTAATAGGGAAGGAAAGAATACATCGATATAGAAATTATCGATATATTCTCTAAAACTATCGATATATTCATATAATAAATACTCTCTTGTATCTTTTCGCAAGACAGACAAAGGTTATTAGGACAGACTAGGTACTCGTTACCATATAAGCAACATTGTTACCCTAGGCTCTAGGATATTGGTAATTAGAACCTATTCACATTTGGAAAAAATTATAGCAAATACAATCAACTTTTGAATTAAAATAATAATATTCTCTTGTTGGACAGAGTTTTAAAAAAAAACGTTCTTTACGCTTTTCTTTCCTTTTTCAGTTTATATTTTATAAGTTATAAATAGGTATATATTAATTCACTATCAATTCACAGATAAAGAAATATTATATTCCCAAATAATATAACATATCGATATTTTTAAATTTTGCCATCCCTAATATATATATATCTTTTATATTTATGCAACCAAATATTCATCTTATAATTTTGCAGCCATCAGCTGTTATATGTCAAAAAACACCAAAAAACTCCTTTGCTACTGTTTATCGATATAATTTTAGAGAATAGTTAGAATTTCTTGCTAATTTTATTGAAATAAACAAACCAACATGAGCTCTGGGTTTATTAGCGAAGCTCAGCTTGCTGAAACACGTAAAAGACGGCAAGAAGAATGGGAAAAAGTGCGAAAACCCAGCGATCCCATAGGTCAGTGTCAAAATTTCTTGGCATTCCATTATTTAGAAATGTTTACCTAATTTAAATTACTATTTTTCTCTAGAACGCCCGGAAGAACCTATCGACAACCGAAGTTTATTTGAACGATTACAAGAACAGAAACAGAAAAAGGATTTAGAGTATGAAGAAGCACACAAGCTTAGTAAGAAATTATTGTTTTTAAAATAGTTTTTTTTGCTTAATTTTCGGAATTTTTATAGAGAATATGATAAAAGGTTTGGATGACGACGAAATAGAGTTTCTAGACCTGGTGGACCGAACAAAATTAGCAGCAGACAGGAAGAAGGAAATCGAAGAAGAAAAAGAACTAAACGATTATCGAAATAGGGTTGCCATTCTTCAAGAGAAAAGTTTAGACGAGCGATTACAAGCGGAAATTGCTGTAACCAAACCAAAAGTGACTTCAGGGTCGGGTAAACTGAACCAGCAGAAGCTATTAAAGGGTGTTGTGATAAAAAAATCGGAGTCAGTAAAAAGGAAAATGAGTGCTGAAGGTAATAATGAGGATAATGGCGACAAAGAACAGCAGCCTTGTAACAAGCAACAGAAGGTTTCTAGCAATGTTTCAGCACAAGGGGATGCGAGTAATGATAGTCAGGGTGGTAATGTTAATGGATCGGCTTTAAAATGTGTTGCAATTCTTCCAGGTAAGTAATTACGATTTTAGTTGATACAAGTACTAAAATTAAGTAAAGTAAACATTATTTAAATACAGTGCTTTAAATTTTTTTCATACAGTTCCACAGACACAGACTAACTATATACTTGAAGTTAGTCTGTGATAATACCTAAACTAGTTTGTTGATTTTCGTTACTTTTGATTACTTGTTCTAAAAATATTATGAAATAGATTTCTAAATATTATGAGATAGATCTGGCGGTATTTACTTTTAGGTTTGGGTTGTTATGATGATTCGTCTTCTGATGAAGACAGTTCAGCCTCAGATAATTCGGAAATTGAGAGCCGATCAAGGATGGACTTGCTTGGTAGGAAAATAATCGAAATTACAAAAGTTGAAGAGCCAAAAAAGTGATCGGTATCATCTTTCTGTTCTTCTAAAAAGTCTGTTTTTTCGATGTAAACCACTCTGTAAATATTTACTCTTTTAGATGTAGAAATTTTTTTAATGTATTCAGTTTACATAAATCAATGTTTACAAAATTAAAATAAACAGGAATAGTCGATTTCCGAAAGTTTATATAAATATATTTGTTTTTTTTCCAGGTCATTGAGAAATTTTTTCACTGTATCTAGTTTATGTAAATAAATGTTGGTAAATTGGTAAAAAAACTCAGAAGTTGATTTATTTCACAAATTTTATTTTGCATTCATCCATCTTACGTACATTTAGCAATAACTTAAAAAAAATAGGTTCAAATTACAATAAAATTAACCTTGGTTTTCTCTAATGTTTCAAAAAATAAAAGCTACAGGATTGTTAAAAAAGTACAGGATGTACAGGGGGTTGTTTCTGGAAGGGCAATTACGAATGGGCGATAATAGATTTTAACTATCGATAATAGGTTATCGCACTTCCCATATCGATATTATTCGATATAATATGGATACGCATGGTATATCATATATCATCTCTAATATATATCGATATGTCTATATAATATAGGTATCGACATATCGGTATAATTTTCCTATCCCTAACATATTGTTCAAACAAATATTCATATTACTCCTAAAATACTTTTTGATAAATCAATCAAAGTTTTTCATAGAAAAAACACCCTAAATAATGGTAATATGTTTAAAATAGACATTATTATACATAAAAAATTGCCATAAAATATACAGGGTGAATCAATGATAATGTTAATAATTTATAATCTCATTTATTTTTCGAATTATAAAAGAGATGCTCCAGTTACAAATACAGGATGCTTCAAAAAAGTGTGTAATGTTTATTTTTGTTTAATAGTTAAAACCATACATTTCATTTTATTTTTGATTCTGCGTAAAATTATATTATTTTTTTTGTATATCCTATTATATACAGGGTGAGTCAACTAAGTGCAAATATTTTTAGGGGTAGTAAAAAAAATTGAATTTTTTTAATTAAAAAACATAATTTCTTAATAATATGCCAACAGATACTATAACAGACTACGCATTTACAACAGACTACATTTTTAAGCAAAAAATAATTTCTTTTGGACATTTTCGAAGTAAAATAACTCCGTTATTTTGGATTTATTTGAAAAACGGATAAAAGAAAAAATATGTTCCTTTTATCGAGATCTACGAGCTCTGGAAATATTTGCACCCTGTATATTCAAAAATAATTTTATTTTGTATCTGGAGATCCCCAAAAAACTTTTATTTATCATTTTCCTTTCGTAGCACTCAAAACAAATGAAATAATGAATTATTTCACTTTATTTTTGACTTAGCCTGTACATAAAAATATCAAAATTTAACTTATAGGCATGTAATATATTTTATTGTCTTGACATTTTCAATTATTATTGTCTAATATCATTTTTTTACATCAAGTTTAACAAATGTTTAACAACTGTAATCCTAAAGGCTAACAGTTTGTTGTAGTTTAAGTATACAGAGCTAACTACGCTAAGTGGTTTTTAGTAAACTCTTTTTTTTTATACATTTAGAACAATAGTTTTATTTCTATCATTTGATTTCTCTATTTAGATACTTTTTTCGATTGTATATTGTGGGTAATTATTGCAAAAGTTACTATCTAAGATGTAAAATATAGTTTTGTATTAGTCATAACAATAGGAGTTAAATCAAGTGATAGAAATAATAGTTAATAGATATACATACAGCAATATATAATATTATATATAGTTTAAAACCACCCTTATGCAAATCCACAAGTTATACTCGCTGCAATCTGCATGAGATAGTTTCATTATATTTAAAGTATTTTTATTGGAAGACAAAGTTACATTCTTGGAAGACATTGTTTCATATATGATGCACACAATATTCGATCTTCATACAGAGTGTTTCAAAATAAAGGCAAACAAGTTTAAGGGACGATCCCTTGGTTAAAATAAAGAAAAGTTTAGATAGTTTGTAGTTTGTAGAAAAGATAAACTTTGGGTAGTTTTACGCATTTGTTTTGAAACACTCTGTAAAGCTACAAATTTTTTTTAGAACTTATATGAGGCTACCAGCAGCGCAAAAACGGCCTAACCCCAAAAAGCTTGTTTTGAGAAAACTTATATTTTGATATTGTCAATATTATAATTAATTAATTATAACGTTTATTAATATTTATTTTTATTAGGTAATTAAATTGTAATAATGCGCTTAGTCCCGGAGATATTACAGCTTGGTTATTTTGCCATACAAGGGAAAAACCAGAGTAGTCCACGCGTAAATGGCAAAACCAGGGATATCCTTACTAATGGGCGACGAGCATGCACCTTTGCAATTAGTATTATATGTTATAAATTTATGTATTGTAATAAAAACCTACTTAAATATTAATTTTCTTCCTGCAACAAAAAAATAATAGTATAGATTTAGGTTTTATACAATCTTTAATTGGACATCCCTGGGTTTCCCCTGTTTTGTTTTGTATTTTGACATTTTTATTTCGGTATTTCAGGATAATGGCGATAATTCTCAATATTAATAATTCAGAATTGGTAATAATAGGTATTTTTCTAATTATTCAACCGAAAATAACATATTTCTTTAAAAACACGCATACTAAACTGCATTTTTCTCGACTCCAATTAAAATGGACAAAACTGGGTTTTCCTCTGTAGTCTTCAAATGATGTATAATAAATGTTGATTACTAAAAAAATTGTGGACCGTTTTTCTTTATGAATTTATTTGCAAAGTTAGGAGGCCAATACTTTTTAATAATATGTAGCATGAAAACTATTAATAAAGCAAATTTTGTAGCTTCAAAGCTTTAATTTTTTTTTTAAATACAAAATAAATTTAATAAAATAAATATGATTCAGCTCGAATTTGCGAGTTCGTGGATTAGACCGTTTCTGCGCTGTAAGCCTCTCATACAGGGTGGGCCACTGAAAACTTACAATGGCTATAATTTTTAAACCAAAAAAGATATCAAAAAAATAAAAAATATCGTTTCTATAATATCGAGGGAGAATACATATGACGTATTTTTTGAACCACCCCGACCTACCCCTAAGACGGCACCACTTCTCACTTGAAAATCTTAAATGGCAACACCCCACTTTTTGGAAAGCCCATGAAAAATGCTAAACGACGATCATAAAGTTTTTAGGGTGAAATTGAAAAACTACCCCTTACACGAAAAATTAGGTGGACATTAATGAGAAAAGTGTTTTTTTCAGTATAAGTTACAAATTGGGACCCAGCTGAATGAGGTTTTTTTCAAACTACCCCGACCCACTCCTAGGTGCCACCCCCTCACTTCTAACCTCAAGATAGCGATACCCCACTTGTGACACCTCTTTGGAAAGCGTATAAAAAATGCTGAACGACTGTCATAAAAAAGAACGAAAAAATTAGAGCCTAAAAATAAAACAAAAATGTCAAATCGTGTCAAAATCAATAGAACATTGCGAGAAAAAAAAAAGCTGGTACAAAGAAATTTATTATAACTCTTAATGAAGACCTCATACTTTCAACAAGATGGACCCCTTCTAGCATTACCCCCTATTGTCAAAAGGATAGCGATACCCCACTTGTGACACCTCTTTGGAAAGCGTATAAAAAATGCTGAACGACTGTCATAAAAAAGAACGAAAAAATTAGAGCCTAAAAATAAAACAAAAATGTCAAATCGTGTCAAAATCAATAGAATGAATTATTTTTGTATCCATGAACCATTGCGAGAAAAAAAAGCTGGTACAAAGAAATTTATTATAACTCTTAATGAAGACCTCATACACTTTCAGCAAGATGGAGCCCCTTCGCATTATTCTATTGTCAAAAGGATAGCGATACCCCACTTGTGACACCTCTTTGGAAAGCGTATAAAAATGCTGAACGACTGTCATAAAAAAGAACGAAAAAATTAGAGCCTAAAAATAAAACAAAAATGTGTCAAATCGTGTCAAAATCAATAGAATGAATTATTTTTGTATCCATAAACCATTGCGAGAAAAAAAAGCTGGTACAAAGAAATTTATTATAACTCTTAATGAAGACCTCATACACTTTCAGCAAGATGGAGCCCCTTCGCATTATTCTATTGTCACAAGGCGGTGGTTGGATAAATATTATCCAAAGCAATGGATTGGCAGAAGGGGTCTAATCGAGTGGCCGCCAAGATCACCGGATCTCACTCCTTTAGACTTTTCCTTGTGGGGTTACACTAAATCCATAGTCTACAAGACAAAATCAGGTTCGTTGCAAGAATTGCGGCGGAGGAGAACTGAAGCTTGTCGAAATATTTCGAGAGAGACTTTCCAAAAAGTGAGAGAAGAATTTGAAAATCGTTTGTATTTTTGTATGGAACAAATCGGCTGTCATTTTGAGCAATTATTAAAATAAATTATCATTTTAAATTTCAAATTGTCACACCTACATTTCTTGTCACTATCCAGTAATTAAGTTGAAGTGTGTATGAACATCGTTTAGCAATTTCAATTAGCTTTCCAAAGAACTGTCACAAGTGGGGTATCGCTATCTTGAGATTAGAAGTGAGGGGGTGCCACCTAGGGGTGGGTTGGGGTAGTTTGAAGAATAATTCATTTAGCTGGGTCCCAATTTGTAACTTATGCTGAAAAAATCACCTTTTTCATTAATGTCCACCTAATTGTTCGTGTAAGGGTAGTTTTTCAATTTCACCCTAAAAACTTTATGATCATCATTTAGCATTTTTCCTGAGCTTTCCAAAAAGACGCCACAAGTGGAGTGTTGCCATTTAAGATTTTCAAGTGAGTAGGGGTGCCTCCTAAGGGGTAGGTCGGGGTGGTTCAAAAAATACGTCATATGTATTCCCCCTCGATATTATAGAAACGGTATTTTTATTTTATTGATATCTTTTTTGGTTGAAAAATTATAGCCATTGTATGTTTTCAGTGGCCCACCCTGTATATTGTTAAAAACCTACATCTGAATGATATGTGGTTTTCAAGCGCAGTACCACAGTAGAACGCTTTTTTTTAATTGTATTTTTACCTTATTTACTTAGAATAAGTATTTGAAATTGACTAGACCTAAATGACATTGTTTTTTTTTTGTTAGGTGCAGTTGTCCTTAGCGAATATATTTTAAAGAATATCTATAAAGGATTTCAATATTTTAAAGATTATATACAGGGTGGCCCGTTTCCTTGTAGTCGGACATTAATAGTCCATCGAAAATTTGATCCTAAATGCTTCGGTGTATAGCGTTACAATTTTTGAACCACCCTGTACACTATAATGATAATACAAATCGTACGTCTGTTGTTTTGTTTCTTTCTATTTTTATAAAAAATAATATATTAAATATTAAAGTATTTCTAAAGTGTAAATTTTTAAAATACTTTTTTTTTGTTTGGAAGACATGGGTTACTTTAATATAATATTTAGTAATATTTGGAATTATATATTGTAAGTAATTTGTTAAATATTTATGGATATCTATAAAATATTGCTATTTTTTTGTTAATTATACTTGTCTTTTAATAATTTATTGGCGTTAAATATACAACAAAATCATATATCTATTTTGGTTTGACTGGCATATACATGGTGGTGCCTCCTATACGAGACGGACGCTTTATATCGAAATGAAATTTTGGTAGCATAATATGTAGTGTTACTTTAGAGCATTTTTTTAAAAATATAGAGAATTCTACAGGATGTGTTTGTAATGCTTTTTTTTTGTAAATACACCCTATATATTAATTGATTTTTGGATTCTAGGAAAAAAATAAAGGTGAGTTTCCTTAAAAAAGTATATGCCTAAAATGTAAGGATTTTGACATATTTTACATTTCGTGAAAATGAAGAATACATTTTAAATTTCAATAACAGCTACCTAAATTGTAATTTACCTTGTATATAGCTGGATATTTAGTTAAAATAACTGCTGTATGTTAAATTAAATTGAAATTTGACCCGAAAAGCTATACAGGGTGAGACAAAACTAATATTGAACATTGGTCACATTTAAAAGCAAGTTACTCCTTTATTTTAAATGGAACACCCAGTATATTACTCCGATATTTAATGGAAAATTGATATATCTTCAAAAAACTATTAAGGTCACCTACCCCTTAGACAAAAATTTTCCTAGATATTTTCATTTTTATGATTTTGCGTCTCTAGATCTTTATTATTTAATATGATTTAAGTGGTAAAAATGAAAATATCTAGAAAAATCTTTGTTGGGTGGGTAGGCAACCTTAGTAGTATTATGGAGAGAACTGAATTCCCGACTGAATATCGGAATACTGGGTGTTAAAAATAAAAGAGTAACTTGCTTTGAAAGGTGACCAAAATTCAATAGTTATATTGTCTCACCCTGTGTAACTTTTTGGTCCAAGTTTTAATTTCATTTAAAATACAATAGTTATTTTAACTACATATTAAGCTATACCGGGAAAATTCCAGTTTTTATTGAAATTTAAAAATTATTCTTCATTTTTTGAAAATGTTAAACATGTCAAAAACCTTACATTTTATTCATATACTTTTCTAATAAAACTCACGTTTATTGTTATCCTAGGATCGGAAAATCAATTAATATATAGGATGTTCCATTACAAAATCGCAACTTTAATTTGTGACATTCTTTGGGGACACCCTTTAGAACACCCTATATTAAAAAAAAATGCTTTAAATTAACCTACATATGCTCACAAAATTTCATTTCGATAGAAGCTGTCGTTCTCCTGGAGCCTCCGCGTCGCCTGAGAGGCGCCACCCTGTACATATATATGAAAAAATAAATAAACAATTTTTTTTATATATAATAGAGTAGTCCAAATTATTATAAATACGATTAATTTAATAATTTAAATAAATAACAATAAAGTTAACCAAATCATTTGGTTATACAAGGTAAACCTTTGAACAAAAAGACTCGGGAATGAGTATAATAATATTTATATATTCTTTACATATTTGAGACGAAATCAATACCATGACCCCCATGTTTGACGTTTTGAGCTTATTTTATTTTATTTATTATTTATTCTTCACTTTTATATATTTTTTTTAATCAAAATATTTTAAGAAACAAAAATAAATTAATTATAAATATATAAACAGTTATTATTTACATTAATATATTCTATTTAATAGAACTTACAGAATCATGTTTAAAACAATTTGGACTACACTATACATATGAAAAAAACCTGGTATACCGGGTGCGTCTCAAAAGTGGCTCACCTCTATAACTTTTTTATTTTTTCAGATAGAAAAACGAGATTTGGTATGTTCGTATATGACATAAATTAAGATTCATTGACGTGTTCAATTGTTTTCGGTCACTTCCTGTTTCACAGGAAATTTAAATTTTTTAAATGGCACCCTCGGTATTTTTTTACTTTATTCGATAGAAAATGACATTCTGAATCGAATGACGTATCATATGTCGACTTTTGACATATACGCTCAAAAACAAATTGCATTTTAAATTTCAATCTAGAGTGCCATGGATGTGTTAAAAACACCAATTTTTAATCAAGGAGCCTTGGAAAAATAGATTTGATCGTTTAATGTATTTAGTGTCTTGTCCTGGCCGGTTAAAAGATACCCAACTCGTATTTTTAATCATATCTCAATTTTTTCAAATGGAACGAGGGTGGCTCATTAGCATATTTGGAAAAAGCATTTTTTTACGAATAATTTGATACCACACACTTGGTATTTCGAGTAAAATTGTCGTTATGAACCGCAGGTTACAATTTCGAATAAACCATATGCGAAACTGTCGAAAGTTGACATATGATATGTCATTCTATTCAGAGTGTCGTTTTCTATCGAATAAAGTAAAAAAAAATACCGAGGGTGCCATTTAAAAATCAAAAGTTGTAGTCTTTTCCGGTGAAACCGGAAGTGACCGAAAACAATTGAACATGTCAATCAATCCAGATTTATGTCATATACTAACATACCAAATCTCGTTGTTTTATCTGAAAAAATAAAAAAGTTATAGGGGGTGAGCCACTTTTGAGACGCACCCGGTATACCTACTCAAAATAATTAAACACATGTTTTTTTATATATTATGACATATTATTTTTAATTTTTGGAAGACTGGATTCTTAATATTATTATTGTCGGACGAATCCGACATATTATTTTAAACCTTTTTTCTCTCTAAAAAAAGGTACATATACTTCGTTGGTATTTTACTGGATTTATTACTACTTAAAACGGAAGCCCAATTTCAAAAGCGTTAATCAACGCTTTACCCGAATCAAAGATACCTATTATGGCGAAAATGAACCCTAAATATATGATAAAATAGTTGAAAATTACCGTCTTCCTTTCCAGAGTTTTACTCTTTAATTTTAGATGGAAGTAACAGGGCCATATGAAGCTTAGCATTGTGCCTGTGAAGCTCCCAATAAATCCCATGAGTATTTGAAAGTGCGGAATAAAATAAGCCATGAGTATTGTGAATATTATAACGGCCAGTCTCCAGGCGAGACCCCATACTTTCAGGTCTCCATTTTGATCCCAAATGGTAGGAAATGGAGTTTTCGGTTTACCTCTAAAAAAGCTTCTTTCCAGCAACTCACAGGCAGCGTAATAAGGTAGAGGATAACTTAACATTGCTTTGACTACCAGACAGATATTCACCAAACCTTTGAATCCAGGCGAATGCAAGTTATTTGTGATAACCTGCTGTGTATCGTTTTCAAAAGTAAGGAAGCAAACGTATCCAAAGACTGCTTTGAACACGGCTGCCCAAACGTGGGACCAATCGAGCATCCACTCAAATTTAGAAGGGTCTTCCATGTTTCCTTCCAATGTGGGTAGGAATATTTGGGAGGTGTAGCTGAATACGATCACACCCAAGCTGATGGGGAAGTTTTCCAAGTCCAGGCCCCATTTTACTGTGCCCCAGCCCCATTCGCCGATGTAGAGGAGGCAGTAGCCCAAAATGATGACGTTGATGAGGATGTGGGACATGGTACACCAGAAGGATAGGACAGAGACACTTTTTAAGGATTTTAGGAAACCTGAAAATTAAAAGAGGATTTTTTTAATTTGCTTTAAATAAAATTAGATAGTTCATCATATTCGCGAGTCAAAAGCACATGCGCACTTACCTAAAGGTAGTAGGAATATACCAATCAACATCATCCAAGATCTAGTGTCCATGTCGCCATCCGGAAAGGACCCGATCATCAAATCGCCACACACCACAACGTATAGGATGCAGGTCATCAAAAGCTCGATGATTTGGGCGATGCTGACCACCTTGCCGCCATATTTCTTGCCGAAACATTCCTTGGCAATTGATACGTACGAATCTCGCACTCTTACTTGCCTGGAAAAATCAAGTTCCAGTTTTTAGGCGTTCAAAAATTACAAATGTATAATATCTCGTCTTTTTCCGGAATTATATCGCCAAATATTATTTATTCGAATTTATTATTATTTTCTTTTAATTTTATAAATAAAATACAGTGTGTTGCATACAAGAAACATGTATGTGAAATACCTATGAAACATTGGAAACAAACGTTATGCCACGATCCACGGTGGTTTTTGCAGTTCACAGTTCACAACACAGTTTTTCAGTTTTTAATGCCACTTTTTCACAATTATCACGGGTTTGAGTAAGTAAAATTTAAATTAAACTCACAAGATGGCAATAATTACTTTGAGAATGGACGCTTTAAACATTTTTCGGTATTTTTTCAATGAGGGCGGCTTAAATTTTGAAAGATTTTATAATTTTTGGAGATTCTGACTTTGACAAGAGAAAATTATTTCTGTTTTTGTTTGGCGGTTGTTCTTAGCAACGGCTATTGCAGCGCCAGATCGCGTACAACGGCCGCGACCCAGAAAAGTTATCTATTTTGACGGGCTTTCCCTTGGGCTTTCCAATCTAAGTTGTTGATATGTTTGCGACAGTTTCCATAGTGATTTATGTATCAACGTAAGTATATACCGGGTGTTGCATCGTCGGATGGGACATAGGAAATCCCATGTAAATTTTAATGGGGTCAATTATTGGCTTCTCTAATTATTTTAGAGAATAATTCTATTTAGGTTTATCGAAGAGCACTAAAACCCACATTCAAAAGAATAACTTTAGATATTTTTGATTAGCTCGTTTACGAGTTATCGCCGATTTCTTTTTAAATATTTCTCCTTTCTTATGGCCCTGTATTTACTTATGAGCACCAGTCAAGGTAAAAGATAACTGTCAAATGAAGTTGTCATATCAGAAATTTACCTATTTAGTGCTTTTTTATTTTATTATACATTATTATTGAAAACTCATTCCTACATCGGAAATCTTAAAGATGTATTTATAAATACAAATTAATATGAATTAAAGTAAAATAAAGTAATCAATTACAAGGTTAATTATAGTATTATTACAATATTCAATAACTTATTAATTTAGGTACTATTAAATTGTTAGAACTTTAGGATTTAAGATGTTCAAATATTCCTCCATCGACTGCTAGACAATAACCCAGGCGATCATAAAATTCTCTTCTTACATTCGCTAGTTGATAAACTGAAATTCTATTACATTCGGCAGAAATAGCATTTTTTAACTCGTCTAGATTTGGGTATTTTTTATCCTTGTGTATCCTGTTTTTTAAATGGCCCCAGAGAAAGAAATCATTTGGCCAAATATCAGGGACCTTGCTGGCCAATTTACTGTATGATTTAGGCCAATAACGTTTCCGTTAAAACTATTGTCTAAATATTCCCGAACAGCCAGGGTACTATGTGCCGGGCAGCCATCCATTTGGTAGCAAACTTCCTGATTTTCCCTAGCGGCATCATGTAAAGCAGGTAAAATATAATTTTCGAGTAGTTCCAAATAATATTCTGCATTTAAATTTCGCGTAAGAAATAATGGTCCGATAATATTGTGTCCGAATATCCCTGCCCAAACATTTACTTTCTGTGGATATTGCGTCCTTGTTTCGACAATCCTGTGTTGGTTTTCTTTGTTCCAATATCGATAATTTTGAACATTGGGACATTATTTAAGGTAAACGTGCATTCGTCAGTAAAACATATGTTTTTTAAAAATTCCCTATCCGTATTTGCTCTTTCCATCATATCAAAACAAAATGCCTGCCGTCGTATTTCGTCCCCATCTCGTAGCTCTTGGTGCTTTTCATATTTGAAGGAATAGTATTTATGTCGTTTCAAAATTCGAAACGCTGTAGTGTGATCTATTCCTATTTCATTCTCAAGTTTCCTTGTGCTGATCTTTCCATCGTTCTCTTCCACGCACAATAAAACTTCCAAGTCGGTATCATTTCTTCCATCTTCTCTTTGTTCCTGCCTTGCTTCACATCTGCAGTTATTTATTAGGGTACCTTTGGTCTCAAATCTGTGGATATTCCTTGCGATTGTAGATTTTCCAGGTATCGGTCTATTAGGATACAGAGCAGCAAACATGTCCGACACCTTTTGATAACTATTTCCTTGATAATACCATTTAATCATCAATACTTTTTCTTCGGTAGTGTAATTCATGGCTAATATTATTGATGTAGGTATGAGTTTTTAATAATAATAATAATAAAGCACTAAATAGATAAATTTCTGAAATGACAACTTCATTTGACAGTTATCTTTTACCTTGACTGGTGCTCATAAGTAAATACAGGGCCATAAGAAAGGAGAAATATTTAAAAAGAAATCGGCGATAACTCGTAAACGGACTAATTAAAAATATCTAAAGTTATTCTTTTGAATGTGGGTTTTAGTGCTCTTCAATAAACTTAAATAGAATTATTCTTTAAAATAATTAGGGAAGCCAATAATTGATCCCATTAAAATTTACATGGGATTTCCTATGTCCCGCTCGACGATGCAACACCCGGTATGATAACACCTTTTTATTCAAAGGATAACACTATACATAGTAGTATATCTAAATAATATAGCTAAAAAACGATAGACAAACAAACTCTTACTTACCGTCCCGTTTGAACATCGAATTCGTACAGGCAATCAACAAGTATCTTTCCAGTATAACAACAGATGTAGGCAACACCTATCATGGCGGCTATAGCCCAATATCCACCTCTCAGAACGGCGAAGGGTAAAGAGACTATAAACATCCCCTAAAATATAAAAAAGTGTCTTAATACACAGGTGTAGATCACTGGTATAATTATTATAGAGTATTTTATTTTTTTTAGGATTGACTGATTGAGTAATAATAAAGAGTAAACGATATAAACTCTATGTATTTACTTGAATAGCATTGGTGACATTCCAAGCTGCTTGGTACTCGTTGATCTTAACATCACTCTTTCCTTCTACAAAATCACTACCATCAGAGAAATCCACCGACGACATCCTACTTTGTTGCTTGGTAATTCCATCTTGACCAAAATGACTCTCCTGCAAAAAAAAGGAACTTAATTGTTAATAGGAATATTAAGTCTGTAATTGATAGCTACTAAATTATTGGTATTTGGTGTATGACCAGAAAAGAATATAATTAAGCAGACTAACTATTAATTATACTGCATTTTTAGTTATGCTTTTTAACTTGACGAAAAAAAAATCCGTATTAGGCAATTGACAAAGAATTATGTGGAAGTTTGAATATTAATAATTTTTAATAAAATAAAACAAAATAAAACTGCGAATTTAAAGTTTTATAGAAATTGTGTATCATACCCCAACACATTATGATTTTGCGTTTGTTTTTTGTTGTTGATTTTTTAAAATGTTTTGGTAATCGGTTTCTAAGGCATTGTTTATGCATTGTTAAATGACAAAGTTCTGACAGGTTCAAACGTCGCCGTATTTCCTACAAAGTTTTATGAAAAAATGAGTGATAATGACGAGTCTTTGGAAATTCAACAAGCTGCCGAAACTAGTGCCCGAGAAGTCGAAAAACTTATACGAGGCCGCCTACAACAACTTTGAAACCTGGGTCAAAGAGAAACATGTTGAGAATTTCACAGAAAAGGTATTTGATAGTCATTTCCTGAAGTTATTCGCTACCTTAAAGCCGTCAACTCTGTGGAGTAAATATTCGATGCTCCGCACCATGGTTTACCTGAACAGAAACGTAGATATTAGCAAATTCATAAACCTTATTGTATTTTTAAAAAGAAAAGCTTCCGGATATCAGGAAGAGAAATCAAAAGTATTTACAAAACTGGAAATAGAACGCTTTATGAAAGAAGCCGATGACAAAGAATTCCTGTTAGCTGAAGTTCTCTTAATCGTTGGAGTATTTGGAGCATGTAGGAGGGTTTTTTGTAGGGGATAAAGAATCTAGCGGGCTGCTGTAATTTTTGAGGAAAAAAAATGATGTTCCTAATATTATTTTATTTGACCATTACTCTACTGCAATACGATATTATCATTGATTATTATTATTATCGTTATTGTTTATTGATTATTATTATCGTTATTATCACTAGATTCTTAATCTAAAAATGTTCTTTGTCCTGACATGTAATGCTTTACATTTTATTTTTTAATTTCAAATCGGTGAGTTTTATCAAAAGAACACAAGAGATAAAAAAGTTTCTAAACAAACTAAACTATCCAAATTATAGCATTTGCATGTGTTTGATAAGATTTTTCTTTAAATTTCGTTAACAAGAATGGTAGGAGTAGTTTATTTCAACCCCTTCCACTCATTTTAAAAAAGTGAAAAAATTACCAGAAAGTGTGTTTTCATAACAGTAATGCTTCCATAAAATTTCATTAGTCTATCTCTTTTCGTTTTCAAGATAAAAAATAAAAACATTATTTTTCCGCCATCTTTGTACCGCGATATCTCCCTAATGGTTGACTTTTGACCCAACGTTTATAAAGCAAACTACCCTTTATTTTGAACAAGGAATCACCCCCTAAAGTTTTTCGCATTTGTTTTGAAACACCCTCTATAATGCCTAAAAGAATGTCATTTCGAATCTCAAATAAATATCAAAAACTGTCAATAGGTGTTAAAATGACTTTTTTATGTTGCCAATCACGTCGCAAAAATTAATTCTTTAAAGACGTTTGAAAAAAAAATGTGCGCTACTATAACCAGAACTGGAGATTTTCCAAAACACACGATCACCCTGTAGATAAAACAATCAACAATAATTATTAATATAAGATATTTTTTCCATCTTACTGTTGATTGTCTAGAAAAATCTAAATTACCTGTTGAAAGCTATGGTTCTCTTCTTGTTGCATCTGCAGGAACGGATTACTTGGATTACTGGATCCGAACGGATTACTACCAGACTTCACGTGTGACATTTCGTGATGCTCGTCAGTGATTCCGCCGTGAGAACTGTGATTCTGATTGGGCAGCTGGGCAAAATGTACCTTAAAAATAATTTAAATTTAAATTTAACTTATTTTTTGTTATTTGTTGTTAAATTTTTACCCTTTCTCCATGATGTGAACTTATTTGTTCACCTTTGGGAGGTATAAATTGCCGTTTAAGTTGACTGGCCACGTTCACGGCAGCATCCATCGACGGAAGTTTTATACTACTCAACCGATTCATTTTTTTTTCTGTTATAACTCAAAATATTATATTAAAACTTGATAACCGACAAACAGATATATATATAAAAAACACTATTATTCTAACTTTACACACCACTAGATCGATATCTTTGGATCTAACTTTGAGATTTATTTTTTAATCACTGGCCAATAATTTAAAATCACTTTTCCAGCTTTTTTAGTTGAAATATTTTCGCATCATTTCTGAACGATTTAGTATGTGTTTATGGGTTCTAAAATACGAAAATAAACTTAAAAAACTCAACTATACAGAAACTGGGTCTTGCATTTGGAAGACGAGACGTGATGCTGGGAGGTCGCGCTCGGCGCAGGATTGTTTGGGGGGAATTTATCGATTTTTTGCCCTTCTGTAAAGCTAGATATGTTCGAATTTTGAGAAATAATTATTTTATGTACTTTATTTATTAGAAAAGTGTGTAGATTTGATTAAAATTTGTGTTTTTATTTTTGATCAACTTTTAAAAAATCTGTATTGATTATTATATATTTCTTTTTTATTTGTTTCTTTTGAATCACAGATGGCGCCATATAATTAGGGCTTTATACAATTAATTCAATAAGGAGGTTTGACAGGATTTAAGTGTATAATATTTAAATCCTGTCAAACCTCCTTATTGAATTAATTGTATTAAGTCCTAACTATATTGTCAAGACTTTTGAAAACGTAACTCGCTGTGGAAAAAAAATATTGTTTTATACACGACGATAAAATTGCATTATTGTTTCCTGAATGTTTTCCGGTCGACGATAAAATACATTTTATCGTCTTGTATAAAAAATAACTATTTTTCAAACGTCACAAAAGTATTAATATTTGCAACGTAGTTGACAATATAAAAAGTAATTTTAACGCCTAGGCACAAAAGTACGAAAATATATTATTAAACTGACATAAACTGTCAAATTCAACCAGCGTAACTATAATTTCTCGATATATGATTAATACAAGGTATTACTTTTAAATTTTTTATATTATTTGGAACATTTGAAATTGTCTAAAAAATTATTTGTGGCGTTTGAAAAAATAGCACGTTCTATTTTTTACTCTACGCATTTTTCGCTTTGGCATGAAAGATGGCGTGAGTTGTACGTAAATTTCCGACTATAAAAAAAAACGCTTGCACAGCATGTTTGCCGATACAATATTCAAGATTCTTTTTGCAATGTGTTTGCAACTTTGGTATTGTGCTGTATCATCAGCATGAATATATAATTTTTAATTTAGATTTGTACTTAAAATTTAGTCTCATTTAAAATAAAAAAAGCTAAAAAACAACAAAATTAAAATTACCAAGCGTATAAAGCATTAAATTTTATTTATTAATACTACAGGGTGAGTCTTAAATAAGTGGAAATATTCTTAGGGGTAGTATATTTCGACCCCAGAAACACGATTATAATTTTTTTTCGCGAATTTTATTTTTTCCAAAAAGTGTATTTTTTTTAGTTTTTAGTTAAAAATCACGATATTTCTTGATAATATGACAACATAGGTAGTAGATTAAATTTACAAGAAAGAAAACCCAGAAAAGATTGTTGGGTGGCGCACCTCATTCGCCTCGGTTGGTTCCGTTGAAACGGAAAGATGTAAAAACAAAATATATAATTCAAAATCTAAGCGAGATAGGTATAGGAAACTGTAATATAGTTTGAAAGAGCATTTGAATCTGCTTCGATTTATTTAAAAAAACACAGGGTGCTGCATTTGAAATAACGAAGTTTTTATATAAAATAAATCTTCAAAATAGATCAGCAATTTTTGGTACCCCTGTGTAAATTTAAGGAAGCAGTAACATTTTTCAGTAAAGTTTATTTCTCTACCTATAAACTCAGCACAAGAATTAATTCTGAAAAGTAATTCACAGAGTGTTAATAATCTATTCTATTGTAGCATGCTTATTTAAATATCTTTAAATATCTCAAAAACCAAAGATTTTAAACGTATTTAACTCGTATAATAAATTCCTTTTTTTGGCCCTAAGAATCCAAAAATGAAATAAAATACCGGGTGTTCCATAAAAAATATAACTTTGGTATGGTTAACTTTGGTATAGTTCTGACATACCCTGTACATTTCAACATAATTTTAAATTATGCACATTACCTTCCTACATATACCCATATTGGTGGTTCTCAAAATTTAAGCAAAAAATCAGTATTTTTTACGCGTAAGAAATACTTTTTTACGTGTAGCAAATAGATTTTTACACTTAAAAAATAGTTTTTTACGAATAACAATTAGTTTTTTAAGCGTAAAAATATATTTTTACGTGTAATAAATAGTTTTTTACGTGTAACTAATATTTTTTACATGTAACAAATACGCGTAAACGGCCTTTTTACCCCAATTAAAGAAGTTTAACTTCAAAAACAAAGCGTGGGTATACGCGAAAATTGATCAAGTCACAAATCGACGATTTTCCAGTTTTGTGACCAAATGACTACAAGTATATTTTCTGTTCAGGAAAAAATGATCAAGTCCATACTACAATATTTTATAAGTTTTTTTAACACCACATATTATTATGATCCAGTATGTAAAATTGAAAATATTACAGAAAAAGTGACCAATTTGGCATCAATCATAGTTCAAAACTATTATTTTTGACTTGGTCACTTTTTAAAGTATACCCACAAAAGATTGATAATGTATAATTTATAAAATTTACTAACGAATCGAAAGAACATTATTCAGTGTCAAATTTTATCGGTTTTTTAAATTTGCTCATATTTTACTTGTTTCCAATCTCGAGATAAGATGAATAAATTACGGGAATTCATCCCTTTCGCCATGTTTCACAAACTTTTTTACTCTAATTTACGCATTTGTAGATAAGTTTCTAAAATGATTAAAACATATTGGTTAATAAATCAGATGTAATTTTTTGTGCAAAATTTATAGAAATAAATTTATGTACTTTTTTAGATTCCTAATATTTTTTATTTAAGACATATTAATCAAAAATATTTTTTTTACACAAGTATAGGAAAATGAAAAATTTGGGCGGCTATACGTGCCGGGAGACACGTATAGCCGCCCATACTAAAATATGTTAATGAAAAGTTGGTAGGCCGTTATTTTTGTTTCAAAGTAAAGGAATTTTTCCAATTTTGGTCGGCGATTTTTTCCCTATCCGCCACCTGGGGTCGCGTCCGATGGGAGTTTGGAGTTCTCCACACAGATTTTCTCAAAAACTGCGACTTTGAGTGATTTTGATGTTATTACAAATTTTGTTGCAAATATTATTCCTAATCTTAAATCGAAAACCGCGATTCGCTAGATACTATAATTTTGGAGGTACGATTTTTTAAATTTTTTAACCCCCTTCCATACCCCCCACCTCAAAAATTCCAAATTTTCAAAAGTCAGTTACTTTAGTTAGTGTCTAATATAAATAACACTGTATAGTGTTTAATTGTAACAATTTGCCAAACAATTTTTAAAGAATTCACTACAGAGATAATTAAAACCCATCATTTATTTTTAAAACAGTATATTACATTCATATAATATAATAATTACAAGTTATATACACTTTAAAAACTAAATTAGAAGTTCTGAAGACATCATATAAGATGACCCTGGTATAAATTAGTTTTAATCTCATTACTTCTTGATATACCCTTATTATAGCTAAAACTTAAAAATTTGCCGCCAAACATTTCTGTAATAAAAATGCGTATTGCAATACTTAATATTTTCTTTTTTTTTATTTATAGTTTATAAACAACTTAAAAAGCAACATGCGTATACATCAATCTTTTTTAATAATTTTAAAAATAGATATACGGACATTTAAGAATGTTTCTTATATTTATAAACTTTCATCAACAGTAAAACACATCTATTGTCAAAGAAGATAGTTATTATTTATTACCATTATTAACAATATTTAAATTTCTTGATAGCTTAATGAAGCTGCAGCAACGACTGTTTTTTAGAACAAGTACGCGATATATTATGTTTTAAATTTATTTACAATAAAATATTTCTAATATTTAGTCTAGTAGTATATTTAAAGTTATATTAGAGATGACATTGACACTTTGTTCAATAGCAACACATAAAACACTAATGCGCCACAATACACTAAAACACTAGCATAATCAGCAGATGATTAGAACTAAAGTAATATCTACAAATCGAGCGTTTATATAGGCGCTCAGTTGTTGAGTTTTATGGATATACTCCTTCATTAGTTGATAAAATAATTAGAAAACCTAGGAATAAGTTATCGATTTCTGCAAATTCGACTTTTCAAGTGAAGAAAGATACGTCAAAATATATTTCAATACTATTTGATAGAGAGTTATCGCGTGGTATAAGAATAATTTTTAAGAATGTCAATTATAAACTTGTGTAATAGTACTAATAATAAATTACAACAACTATTAGGTAATCCTAAAGATAAAACACCTCCTCCTGGAAAGGTCGGGTATTTATGAGATGTCATGTAGAGATTGTAGTCAGAAATATGTTGGGCAAAGTAGAAGATTAATATTAATAAGATTTAAAGAACATATGGCTCAGATAAGATATGGTAGACCGGATAAACCTTGCGTTGCTCAACATTGTAAGTGTATTGTGGTAAATTAGTGTTTTATTTTGTTGTTGTAACACCAAAAACTGTAATCTTGTTCAATATTACAATGTTCTGTAATAACAAACACTGATTACAAAAACTATGAGTATATTAGCTTTTTCTTTAACATTTTCTTATGATACTCTGGATACAAATAGTAACAAGTATTCTTAGTTGGTTTTCATCTTAAAAAATTACATCTAAGTAGAAAAAATCGACAACCTTCAACATTATCACTGTCTCTTGTTGATTGACTAGACCATTACACCGCACAAGTTTTTGTTGTTTTCTGAGATGATGACTGCCTTCTTAATCTATTAATTGTGTGCTGATTTAGGAGAGGTACTGACTTGCGAAGTGAGGGTACTAGAAAGCCTGAGCCGGAACTGTCCAAAGCCAACTGAAAAAAAATATGAATCTTAATTAATTAATCTTAATTTGTCATAAAAATATTCTAAAAAATGTTGTTATTATATTTTCTATGCCAAACTCCATAACCTACAATGTTACGGATTGTCTTTACCAGAGGAAAAACATTTTTATCATTGACATTTTGAGAAAAATGTATTCTTCATAAAAATGTTGCTTGTAATGAAATGGTTAATCTCGTTTATACTCCCAATTATATCCCCCCATAACTTCCAAAAATCAAAACGCGTTATTAACAAAATAATTGCTACAGTCATCCAAAAAAGAATATCAGATGCCCTTGAACCGATTTCGAGAAAAGAACAAGCAGGCTTTAGGCCTCAAAGATCATGTATCGACCAAATTAATACTCTCAGAATAATAATAGAGCAATCTCAAGCCGAAAAAATAATCCGCATGATTAAAATGCTTTATCATGATGCTACAAGCTGTGTATTACATAAAGGTCAAATGGGGGAGAAAATTTCTATTGCAGTCGGTGTAAAACAGGGCTGCATACTTTCGCCGCTACTCTTTAACATCGTTCTGGATGTAGCACTAAATAGAGCATTTAAAGAACCACTAGGGATACAATGGGGACTCTTAAGCAGGCTAGAAGACCTGGATTACGCAGACGATCTATGCATCTTTTCCCATTCGCATTCGGATATGTCTCAAAAACTTCTTAGACTCCAAGAGGAAGCTAATAATGTCGGTCTTCAAATCAACGTGGCGAAAACCAAAGAAATAAGGTCAAATACTCCCAACAACCAAGATCTATACCTCTCCAACCGAGCCATCGAAAGAGTTGATGAATTTCAGTACCTGGGAAGTATGGTTCACAGCGATGGGGGCACAGAGAAAGATATAGAGGAAAGGATTTTGAAGGCACAAAGAGCTTTTGCCATGCTTACACCTGTGTGGAACTCCTCTATATATAGCAAAAAAACTAGTCCAGATCTTCAACAGCAATGTCAAATCTATTTTGCTTTATGGATGCGAAACATGGAAGGTTACGCGTGGTCTCATGGATAGCCTACAGGTGTTTGTTAACAAGTGTCTTCGAAGAATACTGAACATTTTCTGGCCCAATCAAATTAACAACGAAGAACTGCGGAGAAGAACATCACAAAATCGAATAGATATCGAAATTAAGAAAAGAAAGTGGGGCTGGATTGGGCACATTTTGCGCAGACCCCAAGAAGATATCGCTAGACAGGCACTTGAATGGAATCCAGAGGGAAGACGTGCCAGGGGAAGACCAAGGAATACCTGGAGAAGAACAGTAACCTCTGAAGCCCAAGAGATTGGGAAAACATGGGGAGAGATCAAACAGACAGCTCAGAATAGGATCAGATGGAAACATCTCTTAGAAGCCCTATGTCCTACGAAGGTATTACATCCCACGAGTCAGTAGTACATATGTGGTAGTAAATAAATAGTTAAATAAAAAAAATAGTTAAAAAAAGTAATAATAACAATAAAAAAGTAATAATAATACCCTTAACAATTAGTTTTAGTTTAAATAGTTTAGGACTTAACCGTTTTAGGAAAAGTTCAACCATATTTTCATGTTTTTTTTTAATTTTCCTTAAAACAGTATGGAAATTTGGAAAAGTGTAAACGGCATTAAAGCAAAAATTGTTTTAAAGAACACATTTTTCATAAAATTTCCAAAAAATCTTCAAACCTTCTTAAACCCTCGAATATAAAAAACTTCAAAAACTGTAAATTATACTAACTTACGTTATTCATTTGGTTTCGCCTCTTCCGAAATGTGATCCTAGTTCTGAGCAGCTGTTTGATGGAATTTCGGAAATTTCGCGACAGTGCGCAGTAAATTATAGGGTTTAGCGCAGAATTAGCGTGGCCCAACAGTAACAAGTAAGCGTTGATGGTGTCCATCTGTACTACTACCCTGTACTCTACCACTGCCTGGGTGGTTGTATCCGTGATGAGGCTCATGATGTGGTATGGCAACCAACATCCCGCAAAGACGAAAGCGAGGAGTAGAAGAATGCAGGCAACTCTTTTTCTGGATTTCATCAATCGGTTCCTCTGCAAATAAAAAGAAACATAATCAAGAAATATTCATTTATAACTGGAATTTATTGTTGGAAATAGCACCGATATTCTGATTTGTATGAGATTTGGGGGGCTTAGTTTTGGTAGATGCTTTATCTCTCCAAAAAAATCCTTTATGGGTATTTCGCCACTGCACTGCAAGAAAAATCTACAAAATAAAATAGTTATTTTTTACACTTCTGCGTTAAACCTAAACGGACACTGCTTGTCAGAAGTTTTGTTTGAAATTTGCCTAACAAAGAAAAAAATGCTTAACGTTTCGGAAAGTTTATCTCTTTCCGTCGTCGGAAGCAAAAAAAATACGAAGAATAAAGAAAAAAACTATTTAAAATATTTAAATTCAACTATTCGAGAACACTTTAGTAAATAGTATAATAGAATAGTTGAATTTAAATATTTTAAATAGTTTTTTTCTTTATTCTTTGTATTTTTTTGCGTCCGACGCAAGCATCTTTTTCTTTGTTAGGCAAATTTTTATTACTGTAAACAAAATTCTATTTTGTAGATTTTTCTTGCAGTGCTGTGGCGAAATACCCATAAAGGATTTTTTTGGAGAGATGATTCCGCCACGTAGGTATAGACATTTTTTAGATGCTTTATATTTTTCAAACTTCAAAAGAGAGCAGTTCGATATTTATTGGGACTGAACAGTAGAACTCACTGCCAGAATTTCTTTTAAAATTTCAAAATACTGACTCTTCCTTCCTTATTCATTTTTGAATCCGTTTGCTTAATCCGCAAGCACATATCTGCTATTCAGGAAAGGCTATCTCATAACTATCCACTTAGGAATGCGGAGCACGATCTTTATCTGCCAACCCCGAGCTCAGAACTAGTTAAAAGCTCAATACTGTACAATGCCAAAAAAATGTACAATCATCTGCCTTTGAATATCAAGTCACTTTCATTCTTTCCCGCATTTCGCAAAGCTCTGAAATCATACTTACTGGAGAACGACTTTTTTGTTGATGTTTAATCATGAACAATTTTGAATTTTAAAATTTTGATCATCCCACACACTGGTTAAAGGTCTAGTATTACAAATTTCCTTTTGTAAAATTTTATTGATACGCCTGTGTTCTGCAATATCCATGTATGTTTTATTTGTAATTTTAAGGACGTAATTTTTTTTTAAATTGATTTCTATTGTATGATATTTTTTTGTGCTTTTGTTTGTTTTGAAAATGCTTTGTCGATGAAGCTATTTTGGCTTTTTGTACAATAAAGCGTGGTTTATAATCTGGAGGCAGTGCCCCTGCCACAGGAGGCCCGAGGTTGAGGCTGCATCGGGGTATATTTTTTTTTATTTTATTTTTGTTAATGTTCTTATTGTAAAATATTAAATAGATTTATCTTAAACAATAATTCAAGGATTTACCTCTTATAATTTTCGAGATAAAAAATAAAATATGTGTAAAATTGTTACAAAAAATTTTTGAATAAGCATTGGTAAAATTATGAATTGAACATTTTTAATGCAAGTCTAAAATGCGAGTTATCATAATAGTGATGGCGTATTTAAAAACAGTCGACCAAAGGAAGAACTTTCCTTGAAGTTTGAGTATTAATCAGCGCAGATTAATTTATCCGTTCAATAGATATGATTTCATTGTGAGATCATTTCCGCTACGAATTTAAAGATGGCGCCCAGCGTGACGTTAGATGTCGCGCTCGTGTTATGTCCCAATTTGTCGTGAATTCGTTTTCTCGTAGTTAACGACTAACGAGGAAAGCTGGATTTTAATTCGATATTCCCTAGTAAATTGAGACGCTGGAGAGATGACGAAGAAAATTGAGCACACGACACGCGTTCTATATTTTTCATATGTTAGCAGAATGTGAAAATAGTTAGCGTATATATTCAAGCAATGCCCTCTATAAAAGATCAGCCTACGGGCGGACTTTTGTTTACTTCATCAGCTGTACATACTTAGATATGGGGTTAGATTCTGTATTCATATTTTGTCGGTTGATTTTTGGTATTATTTGTTATTGTAGTGCAAAAACTCATTATTTTGGTGTTTAAGTGACATAAAGTACTACCAGATATATGGTCACTATGATGGTCACTCTGTTTCTCATAAAAAAACACGAAACATTACACGTTTTGTTAAGTGCTTTAACCTAAAAGTGCCCATAAATTTTGTATTTATCGTGATTTTTGTGTGTGTTTTTTAAGACTCTAACAATTCATCAATAAAGCTTAAGTGGAGTGTGTTTTTGGTGCTGTGCTTCATCTTTGTTGTGTTCCTGGTGGAAAGGATAGTTATACTAGGCAGCTTAAAGTATCCGGAAGAGCAAGAAAAGTGGGTACGAGTAATAAATCAAGACAATTCTATTGAAAATATCTTTAATAAATTTAAAAATAATATTCTCCCAGGATGGTATTAAAGAAAACTGGACAATTATGTTTATTTTATTCATATTGTGGAATCTCCACTCCAAGTGTTGTTGGTTCAGCTTCGATAGATTCAAACACGTAAGATAAACACGTAAGTAGGTATTATGATCTAGGGAAAAATAAAGAATATGTGTATTAAAGATCATGAAAAAGATTATTATTTTGAGTTCAAAATTAAAAAAGATTTTTGTGAAGATAAGAATGATAAAGTTTAAAAGAAGAATGTGTTTTTGTTTGATAATATAATGTATGTAAAGCATAACATATATTTGTTCAGTAATTTTTACTGAATAGTGTTGATTATTTATAATACCAAATTAATATCAAATATTTAAGTGATGGCTGAATACAACATGAATAAAATTGGTATATTTGCAATACGAAATTAAGTTTTAAGAATAAAGGTGTTACTAAAAATACTATGAAATTCATATTTCTTCTTTGTTTTAATTGGTCGAATGTTATTTACATTTTATGTAAGAATTATACCGTATCATGGAAAAAAACGGCGTCTAGTTGGCTTGGAAATGAACATCGATGACATTCCCTAATTAATTGTACACATAAAATAATTAACTAGAATTTTACAATCTTGGAAAATTTGATATTCTTGAACCTTGTTTCTCAATATTCTAAATTTTTTTATTTTCTTGGGATTTAGGTTCGGAAAAAACGCTGATTAAGTTTTCATTTGGTTTTTCATTATTTTTATTTGGTTTAAAAAAAAAACGTTTTGGCTAACATTATAGCCTTCATCAGTGTTGTGTCATAGGAAAAAAATAGTGTCGAATATAATCCAAAAAATTACATATAAAATATTCACACCACATAATGTTTACTGCAATTAATAAACTAATATAAACTTGTCAAAAGATGACCACGTATTTTTTTAAATTATTATTCTTAACACTAAAACTATCTACATGGACTATGGAATACGATTTCAGCCATAGTAAGTAGTAGATACTACTACAAATAATAATACATCACTATTAGTAGATATTGAATGTTTTTTGTTAAATTAGATCGATTTTCAAACCCCAAAATTTAAAATATATTTACATTTTACCCAATATCTTATGTAATACATTATTTGTATATTGTGAAACATTTGCTGCATTTGTATGGTTCATAGTTTATTTGCCAAAGTATTTATTAATATAAATAGGTATATATGTTGTCGTTATTAACTGTATATTATGTATTTTTCATGTAAACTATATCATTTTTAAAATACAAACCAAAAATCTGAGGAATAATTGTGTTTTCCATGTATTCTACAACATATTTATTAATCCGTAGTATCTAACTAGCGTGACGTCATAAATCTCGCCCCAGGGCTGTTCTATTAGAGACGGCATTGATTCAAGAGAATTAGATATCAGATCATCGGCAGACGATTAAAACCGTTTTAATGATCTGCTAACATGGTTGAAAAAGTAGCTTCCAGTGCAAAAGTAAATTGTTTTGGTGTATTGTGGTGAATTAGTGTTTTATTTTACCCTGTATGATTTAATATTACGATATTTACAGCAAAGTTAGTACAGACCATTTAAAGTAAATACCTAGTATAGTTTTGATTTCAGGACATTTCTTGTATTTTTATCATTTTTTTTAAGAAGGGTTGAAAAATATTTGGAAAAATATATATCCTTTATTAATATCTCTGAAACTATCGAAATACCGGGTGCGTCTGAAAAGTGGCTCACCCCTATAACTTTTTTATTTTTTCAGATAAAACAACGAGATTTGGTATGTTAGAATATGACAAAAATTGGGATTGATTGACGTATTCAATTGATTTCTGTCACTTCCGGTTTTACCGGAAATGACTACAACTTTTGATTTTTAAATGACACCCTCGGTATTTTTTTACTTTATTCGACAGAAAATGACACTTTGAATCGAATGATAGATCATATGTCAACTTTTGACATTTTTGCATATGGTTTATTTGAAATTGTAACATGCGGTTCATAACGACAATTTGACTCGAAATGCCAAGTGTGTGGTATCAAATTATTCGTAAAAAAATGCTTTTTCCAAATATGCTAATGAACCTCTCTCGTTCCATTTGAAAAAATTGAGATATGATTAAAAATACGATTTGGGCATCTTTTAACCGGCCAGGAAGGACAAGACACTAAAAACATTAGACGATCAAATTTATTTTTCCATGGCTCCTGGATTAAAAATTAATGTTTTTAACACAGCCATGGCACTCTAGATTGAAATTTAAAATACAATTTGTTTTTGAGCGATTATGTCAAAAGTTGACATATGATATGTCATTCGATTCAGAGTGTCATTTTCAATCGAATAAAGTAAAAGAATACTGAGGGTGCCATTTAAAAATCAAAAGTTGTAGTCATTTCCGGTGAAACCGGAAGTGACAGAAATGGATTGAATATGTCAATCAATCCCAATTTATGTCATATACTAACGTACCAAATCTCGTTTTTTTATCTAAAAAAATAAAAAAGTTATAGGGGTGTGGCACTTTTGAGATGCACCCGGTATATTTACTCATATCTTAGGATTATTAATAGTGATCTGAAAGGAAGCCAAAAAT